TGAGGGTTTTTAGATTGCTGAATAGATATAATATAAAACAAATTACATTAAGCCGAATAAATATAACATGACATGTGAATAGATAAAACAAATGAAGAAAGGTAAAGAATAATTTTTCTTATCGTGATGGAACTTTTTTATTAACGATGTTAGTCAGGGGGAGTTCCGTGCCTCCTCTCATGTTGCAAGTCATCATTGGTAGATGATTGTCAAGGCCCCACGATGGGCATCAAACTATAGATGCAAAAAATCTACTGTCATGAAAATAGGGTCTGATCCCGTGAAGTTGAAGCCACTGACAATCTACTATACCTGCACACATGAAAGGACAAGCGTGAAATTTATGGAAAAAACCAGGGTGGTGTTTGCCATAGGCACTCCGACGCTCAAGTCAGCAAGGTTGAAAGAGATTATTTGATAAGAATTAAGGAGAAGAAAGATTACTAGGAGTCATGTTGGAGACTAGGACTACGGCAGAGGCGTTGGGTTCTTGGGAACAAGAACTTTAGGAGCAAATAGATGGTTTTGAGTAGTCTAGATTGACTATGGGAGATTCCTCCATTATGAGAGAGCAGACCTTTGTTTATATAGTGAACCCAAGGGGTTGGAATCCTAGTAGGACACTAAGTCCTATTTTGGGAGATAATCCCTATCAAGAAAGACATATGATTTCTTGACTTTATCAGATTAAGTTTAATAGTTTGAGTAAGATTTGGAATCTGAGTAGAAGAGGAGATAGAATGGGATTCTGATTTCCTATTTATGGACTACTGCAGGTTAATGGGCTAAAACCCAGTTTAGCTTAACTTATAGGATAGCCCAACTCATAGAGTGGGTAGTTCACAAGGTGATTTTAAGCATATGCCCAATTAGGATTGGGCTGAGGCCTTGGGCCATGACATGTTTATTTCATTATTGGGCCTCGTCAGGCTCAAGACGATTTTTGGCCTTAACACACATAAAACAAATTCAATTCTAGTGATCACAAAGGAAAAAAATATTGATATGTAGTTTTAATTATATTTGTTCTATCTCTTTTTGTTGATTTTTGGATTGATATTGTTGTTTGATTTGTGGGTTTTATAATTATCGTCTTTCTTTAGGATGCTATCATCAAATGCTTTTTTTGCTATTGGTGGTGGCCAATTCTAATTGAAGCAAATGGATTTGTGTCACAGAACCTTTATCTTCATGGCTTCTTCAATGCTTCAAATAAGTTGCCTTCAGATTATACTGCTGGAGTTGTTGTTGCTTTCTATGTTGTTGATACAAAATTCTACACCAACCAGCGAGATCCGATCAACCTTGTCAGGATTGAAACTGATGTGTGTGTGATTAGTTATAATCAGCAATGAATGTTTATGAGTGCAATAAAGTAAATGGCAGAGAAATTTTTAAAGTGGTTCTGCAAGTTATAACTTGAGTCTATGCCCACTGTTATCTTATTGTTTTTTAGAGCTTACAAAGAATAGTGTAATTCCTAGGAAAATTTGCTTAGAAAAATTGCCCAACCCCCTTGAAAACAAGTTATGATGGGCTTATATAGTACCCATTTATATGATAGAGTTGAGATAAGATTCAAATACATAGGATTAGGAAGTTGTATGATTTCGGCTACCTTAGTTGGAATCTAAGTCAATATGAATATCTTCCTTACAAATTGAGCAAATCTAAATATCTTCTTTCCTAATAGTGAATTATCCTCTCCAGATTGACCGCACAACAATAGCCCCCCCAGTTTTTGGAGTGCGTAATCTCGCTTCAAAAACTCATGTCTTTGATCTAGATGGTTGTCGCACTATAGGCTGTAGTCTCGAATTGAAGAACTTGAATTATGTTTGCCGCGAACTAAGAGATCTGAGAGATCTTGAACACGTGATCTCAAGCAAATGAGCAAGCTTATGAGATTAATCAGAGAGCATAAAGAGCTTGATCTAAGAGCATAGAGAGCTCGATCATGGAGCATAAGGAGCTCAATCTGAGAGTGCGAGGAGTTCGATTAGAAAGCGCAGAAAGCTTGATCTGAGAGCATAGCTCGATCAGAAAGCATGGAGAGCTTGATTTGAGAGCATACCTCGATCAGAAAGCATGGAGAGCTTGATTGAGAGCATAGCTCGATCAGAAAGCATGGATCGCTTGATCTGAGAGTATTGCTCGATCAAAAAGCTTATAGAGCTTGATCTGAGAGCATAGCTCGATCAGAAAACATGGAGAGCTTGATCTGAGAGCATTGCCTGATCAAAAAGCATGGCAACTTAATCTGAGAGCATTGTTAGATCAGAAAGCTTGGAGAGCTTGATCTGAGAGCATTATCGATCCAAAAGCTTGGAGAGCTTGATCTGAGAGCATTATCGATCCAAAAGCTTAGAGAGCTTGATCTGAGAGTATGGCTCGATCAAAAAGTATGGAGAGCTTGATCTAAGAGCATGGCTCGATCAGAAAGCTTGGAGAGCTTGATCTGAGAGCATAGCTCGATCAGAAAGCATGGAGAGCTTGATCTGAGAGTATAGCTCGATTAGAAAGCTTGGAGAGCTTGGGAGCTAGAGAGCTAGAGAGCTTTTTCTAATCTAAGCGATTTGAGCACGCGATCTGAGCGATTTGGCCATGCGATCTGAGAACTTTGATTTGGAACAAACTTTAGTATTTTGATGATAACTTGAGCTGTAGACCTCATATTTGGATGATTCTTGGACCGTCGGCTCAAAGGGTTACAATTATTGTGTTTACCACTTAGCCAGATTCAGACTTTATCCTGCTCAGATTTTCACATTTGATGACGTGATTCTAGATTAAGAAACTGGGATTTGTTGAAGAAGCTGAGACTTAAGGGAAAAACATGGAGAGCTATTGTGAATCAGGCCCTTCTTCTAGCGCCAAAATGTTGATACAGAATCTACACCAACCAGAGAATTCGATTGACCTTGTCGGAACCGGAATGGATGTGCACGTGATTATAGATAACCAGCAATGGATGAATAATAAATGCAATAAAGTAAATGGCAGAGAAATTTTTAAAGTGGTTCAGCAAGTTTGAACTTGAGCCTACGTCCACTGTTATTTTATTGTTTTTGAGAGCTTACAAAGAATAGTATAATTCCTAGGAAAATTTGCTTAGAACAATTGCCCAACCCCCTTGAAAACAGGTTATGATGGGTTTACATAGCACCCATTTACATGATAGAGTTTAGATAAGATTCAAATACGTAAGATTAGGAAGTTCCATGATCTTCAGCTACCTTAATTGGAATCTAAGTCAATCTAAATACCTTCCTTCCAAATTGAGCCAACCTAAATGTATTCTCTCCTAATAGAGAATTATCCTCTCCGGATTGACGACACAACATATGTGAGTTATCTTCTCAACATTCTTAATTTTTTTTTTGTTTCTAAAATAATAAAAATAAAAATAATTCATTTTCTCTTCTCAACAATCAAAATCAATTTTTTCCTTTGGCTCTGCAAGTCTCTTGCTTAAAAGTTCACATTTTTCAACAAGGTTTCTCTTTCTTTGATTAATTTATAAACTTATCAATAATACCCAGTGGGTTATCCTGCAATTTTTTTTGCTTTTCTTGACAAAGTTTTAAACTTTGGTAGCAAATGTCTAATGGTAACATATTTGAGAAGAACCATGATGATATAAACTTTGAGTTCAATTTGTGGATATTTTGTTTATTGATTTTTTTAATTATCAATTCAATGTACAATGAATTTCAATATAGAAACTATATATTTAAAACACACAAAAAACCAATAATAATGTACTCTATATATATATATATATAAACATACTCGCGCAACGCAATTTAAAAATGAATATAAGTTACAGAAATTGCGGAAGGTCAATATAAATTTTGAGTTTAAATAGTTGATCTTGATAATATTCAGGTGATATTAAATATCATACACGATTCACTACAAAATACTGACATTGAATATCAAAGACATGTCTGCAAAAATAATATCAATTGTACAAGGTGATGATCCTGAAAATATAATTAGACCATATAATATTCAAGTGATCTTCTCAAGTTGGATGAATGATTTAATAATATTTACCTATAATTGATATTAATAATTATACAGGTACAATTGTTAATTTTATCTTAACACAACTTTGTATATATATAAAATTTATATTTACTTTAAAATTTGTATAATTTAACACTTATTATGTCTTAATCTAATTAGTTTATTTTGTTATAATAAATTTGTTTATAATTTATTGCAAAAACATTGAATAAACATACCTGCGCAATACGTAGGTCCATGTCTAGTTGTGATATAGAAGACTAAGTAGTATTTTCTTACCACTCTTTGCAACAGGAAAGATAAAATTGTTTTGCATTAAGAGAGGTGGTTTATTGAATTCCGATGTCGTTGGAAAAAAGCTCGTTTGAAAAACTCAATTTTCTTGTAGTGTTTCTGTTAATTTCTTATTGCAGTCATTGTTTTGGGATCTCAATCGAAACTTAATTTCATGCTGATTTAGAAGTTGGTAGAATGTCTAATAAGAACAAGCATGAGCATCCATGTGCAATTGGTGGGGGCACTAATTGGTCAGCGGTGATGAATTTATGGACATTGTTTTTTCATTTTTGGAGATATTTCTCAGTTAAATATTACCAAGTACTTATTATTGTTAGGCCCAAGCAACTTTCATATACCATTCAACTCCCTTACTTTCACTTTATCACACTTTCCACCTTACATATTAATCATTATGCATCATATTTACAATGAATCTTTATTCAACTTTCTTTTTTGTTTTTGTTTTTGTTTTTTTATTTTTACCTAAACTGTAAAATATTTGAGGAAATACTAAACTGGTATAATCAAAATATTTTAACTAAAATAATAATGAACAACAACATAGAAATATGTTAAAAATCTGCCGACACGAACAACAACTGGAGCTCCAAGAAGAAGCCACGTCTCCACCGTAATTACTTTGTTTTTTCGGCAAATTACAGACGTGTCAACAGAAGCGGAAATCCATCTGCCATTAACAAAGCTGTCTTCTCTTTCTCTTTTCAATACTTCTGCTTTATAGTATAAACCGAACAAACGTGGCAATATAAGAACACCTTGATTCTCTTGACTCAGAAGTATAGCTTTATCTTTTTAACCACTTTTTTCCCAGCTGATTCTATCCATATTTTGATCTCGAAAAGACATGGATAAACATAGAGGAAAAGCTGCCGTTTTAATCATCTGCATGTTGTTTATTTTCGTTTTCGTTTCTGGGGCTGAACGGCAAGAGAAACCGGAGCAAAAGCAAGAAGAAGAAGAGAAAACATCTATTTTTCAGGTGGTGAAAAGCTTTTTTACTGTTTATACAAGCTCTCCTATAAGTGGAAGAAGCTATTGGGAGAAAGTTAAAACAGCAATCAATCGAGTACAGGCTCATTTCTTTCCACCAAATCTGGAGTAAGTGAGGTTCCAATTCCTTTGTGATTCAAAAAGAACTTTAAAAACTAGAGTACGTGTAATTTAATCTGAAAACAGAATTTGATAAGACTCAAATACTGTTTTCAAGGAGAAAAACTATAAAAAAGTTGTAAAAACCGACTTTTGATCTTATACAAATTGTTAGGGTTATGTCTGAATCAGAAAATATTTGGACATATTTGTACCAAATGCGTTTTCAGATATTCTTCGGTAAAGTTTACATTTTTGGTTTCTGAAAACGGGATGATAAAATACAGTTTTAGGGTGAAAGATGAAGCGGGTGATGGAGGGGAGAAGGTGAAAGGGGCGGTGGCGAAGAGTATCGAGAAGAGCAAAGCAACTGTGGAGGAGTCGGCAAAATCGGCTGCTGAAATTGCAGGGAAAACGGTGCAGAAAACCAAAGACAAAGTTAAAAAGAGCTTCTTTCAGTCCGAGCTTTGATCATTACTATCATGAATTATGTTCATTTCAATTTTCCTCAAGTTAAATGTTGTCATGCCTGCACAAATATGTTAAGTGTATTGAGTGAGTGTCTAATTTATCAAATTTTGTTTGTTTTAGAAAGTAATGTAATTACTTTTTCTCAATTAAAAAATTATCCAGGGAAATCAATTAAATATCATCCCGTGTTTAGTGCATGTTATTTTATAGTTTATTGATGTGTGATTTTGACATCAACGATTTTAAATGTGCAAAGTTATGAGAAGATCTTAGAAATTATACGTGTTTAATATGAGATTTGGATTAAGGTCATAGTTTCATGCAAAGCCTAATAATAAAGGAGACAGTGAGAATTTTTATAGTGGTTCAGATGTTTATAGCGATTCCTACATCTACTGTTATCGATTATATGAGTGTTCTTGGATATTAGCCAAGTTACAAGAGGTCGTGAACAACAAACATACTTACAATAGATTGGTATTCAGAGAGAATATTGAGCCAGTCACTTTCCTATAGGTTGTCTTTGCTATTTGTTTTTATGAATTCATTGTGTCTGATCCCGATTTTGTGAGGGGGAGTCCTCTATTTATAGCCGCTGAGTTCAAGGTAATGATTACAAGTCTACAAGTGAATAGGTATCGTGCAAGTCCTTCCTTACCTCCCATTAGCTGATAACTTAGGAAATATCCTTAAATTATATGGGGTTGGACAGGTGCGTGGACCACATTCACTCACAGACAAAACCTAAGCCTGCATCATATTCTCTCTGTCTTGGGGTGACACGGTAGATTTTGGGCGGCGCAAAACCTTTCTGAACTCTGATTGGTGCTTGCTGATGTAAGCTTATGTCAGTTCTAATTTTTTGGGCATAATAGAAGCTCCCAAGTTCTTGAGATTCAAGGAATTGGATCTTGAGAACTTCATGATTATGTCGTGACCTGACTTGACTTCAGAAATGCTTACTTGAGTTGAATGTTGAGATATAATCGCATCGTTGTAAACGACCTGAAGTTGACTGCTTGATCTGACTTTTGAAATATTGTCTCACTTTATGAACTGAATACAGGTCGAGACTCGTGAGTCATGACTTCAGAGTAATACAGGCGACCTAACGTGATCGTTTACTAAGATCTAATGACCTGATCTTGATCTTTTCTTAAGTCATTGGAATGTGTTTTGAACTCTAACTATCATTCACGACCTGAAAACACTTAGAATATTTCATGATTGAAAATTCTGAATCAACTTGTTTAGTGTTCGTGTTCAACATGTTCAATAAATGTCTTTCTTTGAACAACCTCTTTAGATGTTATTTGTTGCGCTTGACAACTGTCTTGGTCAATAAAACAATCTTTATCTGACAGATGTGTCTCTGTGCGTAATAAGCGTCAACCATGATTATTAAATGTAAGCTGTGCTGAAATGACATTCCCTTTGGGTGCATTAAATATGGATGAGGGTGCATTTAATGCAGAAGAGATAATCACGCCGACGATTGACATTCTCGATAAAGAGAAGCGTTGATTGATTTCTACGAAGCGTGGGGGTTACTCTTCCCATGGATAGATGATACGTGGTCATGATCTACGGCCAAGAGTGAATTCTTGCCCAAACGTTGCTTATAAAGAAGCTATAGTGTTGTCTTCCTCACTATAAAACCCTAACTTCACCCCAATTTTTCAGAAAACTCAAATTTTTTAGAGAGAAAAATAATGTTTTCTTACTCTAAAAAAATAAAAAAATAAAAAATCATCCTTCTTTCACTAGTTGATACGAACCCAACGCTGTAATAGAGCATCTACTTCAAGCAACCAAGAGGTAAAGAAACTTCTTCCTTTTTCTCTTCTTTCACATTCCTACAAAAAAATTCTTTTTTACAGTGAGGATGGTCATGGGTGTCTGGTAGGTCTTAGGAAAGAGCAGTTTTGGAGCAATGTTTAAAAGAAACACTTAAAGTTGAAAAAATTAGGGTAAAGAGTCTTGAAGGACTGTTTTAGGAGTGTTTAGGGTTTAGAAGCTTGATAGCCATGGTAGAAACCATAGAGACATCCTCCACCTCGTCTGAGTTGTCTTATGAGGTAGACTTCTCAGGGTTTGAATCTACCCTAAATGTCGTACCTTTACAGACCCTAAGGCCAACGGAGATCCCTAAGATGAGAACAACCAGCAGAAAAGCTCACAGCCACTGGGCACCTCTGTAGGTCCCAAGAAGGTGATAAGGTTGACTGTTACAACAAACGAAATCAAAAAACCGTTAGAGCAATACGCGATCAACGTGGACATGTACCGAAAGAGGACATACACTGCCCGGAAGCCTCTCAAGGGAATGGCTGCAATCTCGAAAGCCATTTTGAAATGCGGAGTGAGAATACCTTTCCACCCCTATATTAGGTCGATTCTTGACCACTTCAAGGTCGCGCCATTCCAGCTGACGCCGAACGCATTTATGATAGTTGTTGCTATATATACATCGTTCTGCGAGCATGAACTCGGGGAGCCAACAGCGTTGGAGCTTGCTTCCGCCTATATCTTGAAAAAGAGTAAAGATAAGGACTTGTAGTACCTCCCCAAATGACCAACGATCGAGGGAGGAATATTTGGTTATCCTAGTAACGTTGGAGCTTACCAGACCAAATATTTTTTTATTACGTACAACGATATTCGTAAATTTCAGGAACCAAGTAGGTTTTCCCCCTTCAATTTTTAGTTCGTTCATCCTTTTTTACTTAATTCTTTTTAGAGTACAAGCTAATGAACTCTTTTCTTTGCAGAAAAAAAAATGACTAGATTGCAGAGATTGATCGTAGTCGCATTTAAGTGTTCAGCCAACTTCCTAATAGAGGTCGCGACACAAAGCTGCTCATGACGATTGAAAATATTCAGAAGTACGGTTTTTCCCCTCCCAAAGTATACTTAGATGGTTCAGCCTAATAAGTTTTTCTTAAACAGAAAAACCCAAGTCTTTTACATATTTAGACTCTTTTCACTGATTGTTTTTGTACGCCATGCAATCGAAGAAAACAAAGCGATCTGGGGGAACCATCTTCCCGAGGTTGAATCCAGATTCACAACCTAGACCAACTTCAAGCAATGTCCCTGTAAAGGAGACCTAAGCTAGTGCTGAACGACAACCAACTGTAGAGCAACGTGAAGAAGCTCCCCAGCCTGTTGTGGCTACTCCAACAAGGAAGAAGACCACAACTTTGAACAAAAGGAAGACAATAACAACAAAAGCATCTGAGTCTAAGTCGGATGACTTTAGAATATTGTTGGGTGGGTTACAATCTACCCAACTTCCTACTTCGAAGGTCACCTCGAAAGATGCATCGGAGGCATCGCAAGGGAAAGAAGGTGTAGCCATTTAAGGGGCAACTAGTTAGGAGCAGATTGAAGATGTCCCCACCATGGAGGTCAAGATCAATCCATTTTAGACTTCCTGGGGCAGATTCCAAATCATTTAAGGCCGATGGTCTTTACTCTCTTTGAGTGCAAATTGGAGTCAACCTTTGAAAGGTACATAACCTCCAAGCCTTCCGACCTTCTAACCACTGTGCTCCAACTGTAATGCCAGGTAAAGTAAACCTTTCTCGTTGCAAATTCTTTAACGCTGATCGAGTTCCTTAGTTTTTTTTTTTTAAAAAAAAAAAAAAACTAACTCTTTATCCTTTTTCTTTTGTAGTATGTGCTCGCCCTGAACATTGCTCATAACAAAATGAAAATGAACACTAGGGGGAAACTTCATGGAATGAAAGAGGAGATCACCAAATTGAAGCAAGTTCTTACGATTTCAAACAAAGCCGCAAGTGATGCACAGCTTCAGGCGAGCACACTACTAGCAGAAAGGGATTTTACTCGGCGAGCAGTAGAGTTCTAGAAGCAAGGGTTTCAAAAGAAAGATGACCAAACCAAAGAGCTTCAGATGACAATAGTGAAACTCACTAGAGATCTGAGCTAACGAGAGCAAGAGCTTCAGCAAATAGATAAGGAACTTTAAGAGAGCTTAGATAAAAAAGACTCAAACTACTCTGTGGGAGAACACAGAGAGGAAAATGAAAGCGGAGGACACAAAGCTTGAGCTAGCTCATGGGCGAATCATGTCGCTGATTGAGAAAATGAAACAACTAAGCAACGAGGTGGAAAGGAAAGCCAGACATTGGTCACTACAAATTATTCATAGTTTACAAGCAGATAATCTGAACTTGGACGTTTCCAGCCCCCTAAAGAGTATAAGGTAGTGCTTGCATCGATGTAGTCAGCTAATAAACAAGAAGATAAATAGATTGCCTATGAGGAAGATCAATAAGAAACAGAGAAACCTAAATATCAAGCGACCGACCCCGAGGTCGTAGCAATTGAAGTCAAGGATCCTGCAGGTCAAGAGAAATGATCAACCTCTCTTCTGCTCTCTCTCGAAGAATCTCTTTTTTGTTTTTCCTTTCAATTTCAATGTAGTTCGTTGGTCGTCCATGTACATATTTTGCCAATATATAAATAGACTTTTTGACCATTTGTGATAGCACTTTTTATAGCTTAAGTACTTTAGAAAATAAATATAGCTTTTCTAATCGTAAAGCATGTAAAAAATTGCAAATAATCAAGATTATTAAAAACTTGAGATTAAGACACAAGTAATTCTTAAAGAAGAATGAGGATAATCTTCTTCATGATATTTACAAGCTAAAATTTACAAGTAAAATAGATTGCATAAGCTATACAAGAGTTTGGAATTACTGATAATAGGATGCAAATGCTTACCATTTCAAGCTCGCGGTACTTTAGAACCATTAAGCCTTTTGAGATGATACATCCCAGGTCATATCACTTTGGCGACTCATATGGACCTTCCCAATTAAGACTCAATACCCCCGCGCTTGGTTCTTTTGTATTGAGAAGGACTTCTTTGAGGACCAGGTCGCAGACTTAGAAGTCTTTTCTCTTGATTTGGAGTCGAAGAATCTTTTAGCTCGCTGTTGGTAGGAAGCTATCCTTAACCAAGCTTTGTTACACATAACGGCTTCATTGTCTGCCTTATTGTAAAACTTTCTCCGAAGTGAACCAGTTCCTACTTCAACTAGGACCATTGCCTCACATCCATATGCTAGCGAGAAAGGCGTTTCTAAAGTAGAGGTTCTTGGAGTTGTTCTATATGCCCATAGAACTTCTACGAAAT